CGAACCCGTGGGCTCAGGCAATCCACTCACCTCAGCCTCCCAAAGGCGCGGGATTACAGGCTGAGCCACCGAGCCCGGCTAACCCCAAAGGTTTATGGGTTTGTCTTCCCCACTAGTCTTTGCGCTACCCAAAGGATGGGGGCCATTATGTACACACTTTTGTTTTCTCAGAGCTTAGTGTGTTGTCTACCATATAATAGGTGCTCAATAAAACTTGGCAGGTTAAGTAAGACAAACCTATACCATACCTGACTTCTTTGTATGCTGCTCCTCAACAAATTTTTTCTGTTCCTTTTGAAAATCTCCTATAATGGTCTGTTAAAAAAATATGTAAAGAGTCAAACTAAATAGTAACATCTCTAAGGTTTAATTTATAACCTTCTTAGTGCAAACATTTACCAACATAAATGAAATGCCCTAAGCCCACACCACAGCGCTGCAAAAAACCAACCAACCAACCAACCAACCAACCAACCGATCAACTCCTTAAGAGTCTTAAAAGGGTTGTTTCTAGTGGGCTAGGACAATAAGAACTTAATCAAATGATGCAAAGATTAAAAAGATATCCTGAAATAGTTACAGTTTAGCTAATAAATTTCATGCATTCTACTTCCAAAAGATATACAAATGTACCTTATCAATGATGTCATCTATTTTTCCTTCTTCTACAGTTTTCTTTATCGTTTGTGCTGTTTCAGCAACCGATTCAGTTATCTTTTTTGTGGCAGCAGTTGCAAAGTTAAATAGATAGTCTGCAAAAATAAAAAGAGTCTATGGTTATTATATTTACAATTTTTCCCTTAAAGAGACCTTATGAGAAGCTAAAACATTAGGGCACGCTCCTTGTTACTAAAGAATTGAAATAAGAAGCCGGGCTCGGTGGCTCAGCCTGTAATCCCAGCACTTTGGGAAGCTGAGATGAGTGGATTGCCTGAGCCCGCGGGTTCGAGACCCACTTGAGCAACTTGGCGAGACCTCATCTCCACAATAAATCAAAATGAGCCGGGCGTGGTAGTGCGCGCCTGTAGTTCCAGCTACTTGGAAGGCTGAGGTGGAAGGATTGCCGGAGCCCAGCAGGTCGAGGCTGCGGTGGCTGGGAGCGGCCACTGCACTCCAGTCTGGGTGACAGAATGAGACTCCAACTCAAAAAAAAAAAAAAAAAGAATTGAAATAAGAAACAAGAAGCACCGATAGTGCTTAAAAGCACCACTTTCTTGGTGGACTGACCATCCATCCCAGGCCTTTAATTCATCTCTTTCAAAGAACCTTAGCATACTGCCCCCAGAAGCTGCTTCAAACTTTTTGGCTCTTCTCGAGTCTCTAGTTCTAACTTATCTCAGTAAATAATCTTCCCTCTTACTTTGCCACTAAGAACAGGTTCTTTTATATCTACCATCTTTTCTAGATCCCCAAGTACCTCATCTTTATTTCTCCTTCCCTCCTGTTCAAAGAAAAATGTCCCTCCTTTTCCAGATTAACCTATCCTGTGATAAATCTGGGATAATTTTTTTTTTTTTTTTTTGAGTCAGGGTCTTACTCTATTGCCCTGGCTGGAGTGCAGTGGCATGATCGTGGCTCACTGCAGCCTCAACCTTCTGGGCCTAGTTGATCTGTCTGCCTCAGCCTCCTGAGTTGCTGGGACTATAGGCATGTGCCACCGTGCCCAGCTAATTTTTTGATTTTTTGTAGAAACAAGGTCTTGCTAAGTTGCTCAGGTTAGTATCGAATTTCTGGGCTCAAACAATCCTCCCATCTCAGCCTCCCAAAGTACTGGCATTACAGGTCTAAGCCACTGTGCCCCGCCAGAGTTGGGAGAATTTTAAATAATAGATAGAAAGGCTGGGCTCAGTGGCTCAGCCTATAATCCCAGTACTTCGCGAGGCCGAGGTGAGTGTATTGCCTGAGCCCGCGGGTTCGAGACCAGCCTGGGCAACTTGGCGAGACCTTGTCTCTACAATAAGATAAAAAATAGCCAGGTGTGGTAGCACGCGTCTATAGTTCCGGCTACTCCGAAGGCTGAGGCAGAAGGATCGCTGGAGGCCAGAAGGTCGATGATGGGGTGGCCGTGAGCATGTGTGCCACTGCACCCCAACCTGAGCAAATGAGTGAGTCTCCAACTCAAAAATAATAATAATAATAAAAAATAGAAATCTTGGCAAGCCCTGATAGAAATAGGAATCCTTCTTAACTAATAACAATGAGCAGCTGGGCATGGTGGCTCAAGCCTGTAATCCCAGCACTTTGGGAGGCAGAGGCAAGAGGATTGCCTGAGCCCAGGTTCAAGACCAGCCCAGGCAACTTGAAGAGACCTCGTCTCTATGATAAATCTAAATAAATTAGCTAGGCATGGTAGTATGCGCCTGTAGTTCCAGCTAATTGGAAGGCTGAGGTAGAAGGATCGCCAGAGCCCAGCAGGTCGAGGCTGCAGTGGTCATGAGTGTGCTACTGCACTTCGGGCTGGGTGACAGAGTGAGACTTTGATTAAAAAAAAAAAAAGAGCAAACATGCAGAACAAGAACAAGATTGTAAGTAGAACACACAGACTTTCACCTTTACATAACCAAAGAATTAGTTTTCCTGAAGACCTGAAGATATGTATCAAGGCTCTATTGCACTATAATACAAAGGCCCATTTGTAGACAAAATTTATTTTTTTGAGTTGGAGTCTCACTCTGTCACCCAGACTGGAGTGCAGTGGCCGCTCCCGGCCACCGCAGCCTCGACCTGCTGGGCTCCGGCGATCCTTCCA